TGGGTTAGGATTGAATCCCTCCTTCTTAATTTTTTTGAATAGTTTCAGTAAGATTTGTACCAGCTCTCTTTGTACATTTGGTAGAATTTCGGTGTGAAACCACCTGGTCCTGGGAATTTTCTGGTTGGTAGATTTTTTTTTCAGTTATTATTACTGATTTCCAAACTGTTCCATAAGCCACTAATTTTTAAAGATTTGTACACTGTGTAGAGTGGACTGGTGGGAAACTGTATCCGAGTTTTGTAGAGAGGGATTGACTGAGCCAGTTTAAGCTTCACAGTAATGAGGCTAGGTGACTACATTTTCTTGTGCATATAATGCTTCATATATTGTTTTGATTATTTATGTTCACATTTTATTATGTTTACATTTTTAAAATCATGGCAATTTAAATTAAGAATGTTAGAAATACATTTAGTTTTGTAAGTTATTATTGGTTGGTTCAGGTTTTCAATTTCTTCCTGGTGTAGCCTTGGGAGGGTACGTTTTCAGGTGTTTACCCATTGCCTCCAGGTTTTCTAGTTTGTACACATAGAGGTGCTCACAGTAGTCTCCGGGGACCTTTTGTATTTCTGTGTCAGTTGTAGTGTCGCCTTTGTTATTTTCTATTGTGTTTAGTGTAATTTCCTTTGTTTTCATCTTGACTGATCTATCTAGGAGCCTATCAACTTTGTTTATACTTTCAAATAACCCATTTTTAGTTTTGTCAAAGCTTTGAATGGTTTTGGGGTCTCAGTTCTGCTCTGATCTTTGTTATTTCTTTTTTTCTATTAGTTTTGTTCTTGTTTTCCTAGTTCCTTGGGATGTGACATTAGGTTGTTGAGAAAGAGCAAAAACAATTATACAGCAATAATTTCTGCTTGCGATGATGCTTTCTTTAAAGATATTAAAACAGATTGGTGGACAGACAGAGACGGTGCAGCCCTGCTAACTTAGATGGTCAGAATAGTCATCTTAGAGAATGTGGTGTTTGATCTGAGATCACAAGGGAAAAAAGAGGTGCAGCCCTGTAAAGATCTAGAAGTAGTATTTCAGATTATGGGAATGGGAATGGCACAGGCAGAGTCCACTGTGAAAGCCTGAAATACAGGTAAGCAAGACGGAAAGAATAATAAAATAAGAATTAGACAGGCAAAGCTAGACATGGCATTAGAAAACCTTTGAAGGGTTAGGCAATATGGCATGGTTCATGTCATAAATTCATCCCTACTGCTATGCAGAGAAAAGACTCCAAAGGGGTAAACATGTCATAATGAAATAAATCAGTAGACTGCATCAGTACTGATAAGAAACTCTAGCAGACTGAACTGGAATGAAAAGGTTATATTGGAAGAATTGCATGGATTTGGAATCTATGTTAGTAACAGGAGCAATATTCTTCATTGACTCTTTGTAGACTGTGGGTGAAGGAATATAAATGTAGAGAGCTTTAAGCAGGCGTGTAATAATGCGATACTTGATAGAGACATGGTCAGAGAAAGTTTCTCTGTGATGGTGGTCCAGAATGTTGTTTTGGATACATTGAGTTTAAGAGCGCTAGTAAGCATTCAGATAGAGATGTCATCTATACAACTTGTGTCTCTTTCTCTCCTTATGAGTTTCTTTAGCTCAATGGATAGGTGAAGACTCCCCTACAGATTTGGATGTCAATGGGAATGAATGAAATCATGTAAGCAGATAATGCAGATAAGTTCTGCAGAAATATGTTCTGTGGAAATCCAATAATGAGAAGTAGGAGCAAACAAGCTGTCATCAAGTAAGACTGAGAAAAAAAATGGCCATTTGTGTGAATGGGTCACAATGGCTGAGAGAAGAGTGTTTCAAAAAATAGAAAGTCCTTGAATGAGTCGAATGCAGCCTGCAAGTCAGGTAAGATGAGTTAAATATAGTGAGAGCCAAATAATGACTGATGATGGCTTTGGAGATAGAGAACTCATTGGTATCTTAATAGAGAAGCTAATTAAATGACTGTACAGAGAAAATGATATACTAGAGGGTGAAAAAAAATAGCTCTCTAAAGATCGCTTCAGATAATTTTTCCAAAAATTTTCTTCTGCAAATATTGAACACCAACTGGAAGTATCAATGTAATATTTATTTTTAGAAGTACATATACATTCACACGTTTATAGGCACACATGCATAGATACACACTTGTGCACACACGTGTACACACACACATTCACACACACACATATCTTTTAAGAAGGAAGCTACTGATATATGTATATGTATGCTTATGAGAAAGGAGTACAGCTACAAGGCAATTAGAAACTATTTTAAACCCTAGGCCAAATTAGTAGCATATACTATAAGGATTTTTTTCCCCAGTGGTTAGCAGCTTGTTATGATGAATGATCTGTTGAGTTGTGAAGGGATTTCCATAGTACTGAAATCCTGTGTGTGGAATTTCCACATATATGTATAGAAAGCTTATTTATATAACATTTCAAATACAGCCGTATTTCCTGCTTGATGTTAATGAATGGAAAAAATTCTCTGCAGCAATGTTCCTGTCAGAGAGGCATGGAGAGATTTCTAGAGAGGGGACTGCCTGTCACATGGAGGATTTTATGCACAAGACCTTGAGGCAGGTGCTATATATCAGCTCTACTAAATAAGTTGCATTATTTTCATTTTAAAGTGAATAAACAGACTCAAAAAGACTAAGTAACTTAACTAAGTGGCAGAAAGTAGCACTCTGTCAAGTAAGTCAGTATTCAACTTCAGAATTTTTATGAATTGAAAAAATAGAAATACAAAGGAAAGTGCTTAGGGAACTACTTTCTAAAATAAAATTTCTCTCCCAGGCAGTTGCAGTTAACAGTATCTAATTTTCTAAGTTATTCTGACAGCCATTTGTTACCTCCTCCAAAAGAAAAATAAAACTAATCTGAGGGACAGACTTTTGTACCTCTGTCATTTGAGTCCAAATTTCCATCTACCTTTGCATATAACTGAAGTTGTCTAAGCTCAGCTGACACGAGTGCAAAAATCTGAAGTCTGCAAGATTTATCCGACTACAATTCAGCAAAACAGAGCTCCTTAGCTGAGCGAAGTTATGATTGAGTAAGAGATCTTACAATCAGAGGGGGCAAAAGAATACACAGCTCAGTAACATTTCAGCTGAAAATCCACAGAACGATATTTTTAAATAAGATCATTGTTCCAACTCAGAGATAATTGGTAATAGATATGTAATATTTAGTTGTACTTGGACACAATTTTAAAAATCAGCTCAAAATTGTCCCAAAGATGTTAAAACAGTGAACTGAAAAGGGTTTGCATAGGAGTATTGGCCTATTACAGCTCTATCTCTATTGAGAAACACTAAGTAAACACAGAAATAATTAGAAATATATATTAACTAAAAATAGAGCCTTTAAATGAAACTACCAGTCTTTCAATTGATGCCTACCAGTTGTGAGCAAAAGATACTTTGCAGATGATCGGTGCTATTACCTATTTTTTGTAGAAATATCCAAGGTATACAAAGTTTTTACCTACATATGCTGATTTTTGCATATGTCGGTTTACGAGGTTAGCAGAAATTATTATTAATATTCCCATTTTATATATGGAAAAGAGATGTGAAAATAGGAGGCTTGTGGAAGTAACACAGTCAGTGTCGGTGTTTCACATAGTGTATAATGAGTATTCATTTAGATCATATTGTATGGCGGCTTGGCCTTGCCTTTCAAACTCCCTGACCCAAAGGACTTCCGATGGTTTCCAAAATTTTCCACAAACTATTATGTTTTCTAAGATCTGTGCGCTGTGTAGAGTGGACTGGAGAGGAATTGTATCCTAGTTCTGTAGAGAGGGATTGAATGATCCAGTTTAGGATTCACAGTAATGATGCTAGGTTACCACATTTTCTTGTGCATATAATGCTTCATATACTGTTTTGATGATTTATAGCCACATTTTACTATGTTTATATTTTTAATATCATGGCAATCTAAATTAATAATTTAAAAAAGCAATTTAAAGTAAACTTTGAAAAGTTTGCTCCCAGGGTGAAATTTCTTAACGTAATTCTTTAATTCATCTCGGTTTCTTTGTCCCTTGGTTTTATGTCGTACCTCATTTATATTCATTTGTAGCATCAGATATTAGGCCGCATTTAATTCTCATCATCTTGATTTCCATAACTGGTTATACAACTTGATGAGAAAAAATATAAAGTGGATTTTGCTTCTTGAAAAAAAGACATCAAACTCTCATAATCATACTGGGACTGTCAGTTCAAATTAATCAACTGTTTCTGTTTTCTTTGACTGGCAGGACAGAGGGACTGGGAGAGAAAGATTGAGAGGGACTGCACAAAATTCAGTCTTAAACAGGAAGGAGAGAATCTTTTCCTCTAGGTCTGAATAATCAAGTGCATATGTTTTTAATTAGCAACATCTTCGTACTCTGTGCCTCATTTAAATGCTCTTATTTGGTGTGTTGATTTTCTGTGATTACTCATGTTCCTATACCTCCCGAGAAAATAATTTATACAATCAATTAAATCAACCTAAATAGGCAGGGAATTACAGACAGCAGAGGAAAGCCTCTTGCTGACAAGGTGGGATGGCCCTGACTAGCGTAACCCGCACACAGGGGGCACTTTCTGAAACCTATTTCTGCACACGACAGGTATTGTTTCTGCATATACAGGAAGCCGTGTTTGTTCACATTTGTCTAAGGAAAAGGGAGACTTCATTTACCATAACCCTAAGCAGTCTGTTTTCACTCGGACTGGAAAGCGAAAGATCCCCTTAAGAATTAGCCTCAAGCAGCAGATACTCTCCTTTTAGGTTTGTGTGTCTCCGTGAGTCAGACGGCTTCCCCAAATACGGTTTTGGAGAGAATCACATCCTTTAATAGAGCCTCTGTTAAAAAGGACTGTTAGAGAAAGTTGACCCAGGGCTTCGTTCCACGGCGACCGTTTCCTGCGTGTGCAGCTCCACACAGCGACCGCGGCCTGCAATGCGCGGAGCGCAGCGCGGCCTCTTCCAGCCGCAGCGCCGGATCCGCGGTGGCGGCCGGTGGCCACTGCAGGAAAATAAAGCCATTGCTGCAGCAGCAAAATGGCTCAGAGTCCAACGAAAGTCTGGCCTTTTCCAGTGAGTCAAGACTCTGCCTGTTTGGTTCTCCGTTTCGAGTGATTCCAGGCTGAGTAGCGTTTCTCCTCCGGGGAGCCCTCTGGAACTCCACTGGCTGCTTCGCCTCCTCGCGCACCCGCCGCGCGCGCCCTGGGCTGGTGGTTGGAGAGCGCGACGTCGCCGGGAAGGAAGATCCACTACCTGGAACGACGGCTCCAGACCAGCGGGAACGCGCTCTAGTCCTCGATGGAAGCAGGCGTGGGAGGAAAGCACGACGTCTAGGACTTCCCTCTAGTGTCAGAGCGGGAGGAAGAAGAACCTGAGAAGTCGCCGCGGAACGGAGGCCGGGAGCGTGCGTCCACCCCCTTCCCAGGGCCCGGGAGAAATTCGTGCTGCGCCCGCCTCTCCCCGAACCCCGGTCCCCACCACACACAGCCGCGCTCCTCACCAGCCTTTCTCGAATTCCCTGGCAAGTCTATCCACAATCTCCTGGTGCAGAAATCTGCACTGCACAAGTTAGGAGCCCGTAAGGGCCGGCGGCGTTATGGTCCCCTCTTGCTATCTTCCCTCTTACTCCACATAGTTTCCAAGATCCGCGTGGCCCTGGTTTTGACCAGTTTTCCAACAGTTTCAACGCTGTGTATTTCCCCTTCCCGTCTCAGTCCACTCGCGCCTGCACCCGTGGCCGAGTGTGGGTGGCGGAACCCTGGGTGACAGCACTGGAGACCGCGCACCCGGACCCTTCGCTACGCTCCGTGTCAGCCAGTTGCCACGAGCAGTGGAACAGACACAAGTGGCGGCTGTTTGGAACCGGAGTGAGGAGCCTGCCAGGCCCGGGAGAGCGCGCACTCCAGAGTTGGGAGAAGAGGGGGCAGCGCGGGAGACCAGAGGGAAAATGGGCTGAGAACCCAAGCAAAAAGCAGGGTACATTGGGCGTCGCTACGGCTTTCCAAAGGCAGGGGTGGTCGAGCCCTCTGCCTGACTTCGCGCGTTCTTATCCCGTTCTTTGTGAAATAAGCCGCTTCCTGCCCCCCTGCAGGAGCCCGGGTTGTGGGCGGCTCACTAGCGCTGCCCTGGGAATGCAGCCTCCGAGCTCCCTGCTCGCGGAGCCCAGCGCCGACACTCACAGGAGCTGCGTCCCCGGATCGGCTTAGAGGCTCTGCACCGATCGCGATCCAATTCTGCAGCGTTTTAAAAGGTAGCCTAGCAGAGATGCCTTTTTCTTGTCTTTTTCATTCTTTCGTTCTCAGTCTTTTAAATTTTTAACAATAACCTGTCATTTCTGCGTGGAGGGTTCTAAGACTCTTCACTGGGTTTAATTTAGGAATTTCAAATTGCGTTTCTCAAAATTTGAATGTGGTCCCCTTAATTGGTAATCAAGATCGCGGAGTCTTCCAAAATAGCCCTTTTCATCTTATGTAATTAGAGACCCACGAGCTTTCCAAAGCAGCTCTGGATTTTCCACAGTACAAATCTATATTTATTCATCTCTCTCTCTCTCTCTCTCTCTCTCTCTCTCTCTCTCTCTCTCTCTCGTGTGCGTGTGTGCGCGCGCCTGTGCGTGCGTTCCCTTTCATTTCTAGCATTAGGAAACTCGTTCAGGGCCACTGAAAAGTCAAGGGAGGCCCAGATGTTAATTCCCAAGGATTCCTGTATTTCCGGAAACGTGGCCACCAAATAAGTATGAGACTATCATTGTGGATAAATAATTAACTCCTACCCCCCCCCCCCCACACACACACACACAAAAAAAAAAGAGCACCGGAGGGGAGGAAGCTGGGCTGGAAGATAAGGAAGCTGCTGCTTGGATTCGCTGGTGGAGGAAAGTGCGACCTGGAGCTGGGCTTGGGGCCTCCGGTCCCCTGACTTCAGCACCAGAGGGGATGGACAGCGTCTCCGGACTGGGCTGCAGCCTCCGGGACGGAACTACGCTGCCGCCGCCGCTGTCGTCGCCACGGGCAGCTGGGCTCCTTGCTCCTCGCAGCTAAAAGGCGGTGGCTCCTATTACCCACTCGCTTCCCGGTCCCCTTCGTTGATGGATGAAAAGTACCCCTCCCTCTACACCTGCTGTACCTAAGGACAAGACTCTGAGGAGCACCCTTGCTCCACAGATTAAACTCTCGGCAACAACTTCTAGAATTATTTTTCTATAGGGGCCTGGGAGGAATTCTGGCAGAAGAGTAAAGTCGAAGTTCTTAAAAGCTCTGAGAAATCATGGGCGGCGCAGTAGGGGTCGAAATGCTCAAAGGCCCACGCTTCTTGAAATAAGCAGAATGGTCCTAAGTGGATTGCAACTGTTTGGGAAATAGCTTTGTGAAAAGAGACTGGAGATCTACTCAGAATTCTACGTTAGAGAAACTGAAAAGACATCTAATTTCACTGCTCGGCAGGTAAGTGATGGCACTACTGTATTTGTTTTTCAAAATTCTAATGACTTGTCTTATGTTTTAACAGAAAACATAAGCAGTGTAATTTTTCCTTAGGTTAAGGGGGAGATAAGCTATTTTGTTTTAAAATAACTGTTTCTGGATCATTGTGTGACAACAAGAATCAGAATACCATATATGTTACCTTACATAATTACAGTAAACTTTTAGCTGGCCATTTTTCTTAATGCTTATCAAATATCTTTTTGAATCTGTGCATATCTTGTTTATTTTTTCTGACCTTTGATAAGATAATTTGGATGTCTTATGTATGCCATTAAAAGTGATCCTGTCTGTATTACAGTACACAAGACTCAAAAAGTTAAAGTAGAGAGGGGTTAACCATGCCCTTTAACACATTTTATATGGTTATAATTTACCAAACTATGCACTGGAACAAATACATGTATACATACACACCAGATTACTCATTCCGTGCCGACCCCCAAGCATACCTACACCTGTAGAATCTTACCTAAAGAGACACTCATATTTTTTACATAGCGTCCTCTTTCCAGCCTTTTAAAGCTGAAGACTGCTTTCTCAAATCCGATCTGCTAGAAGACAGTAAATGAGAAGCTTTAGTGTGCCTCTTTAGGAGAGCTGGATTTCAAAATCATTCTAACTTAATAGTTCTACAAAATACATTTGTCACTGAAATCCAGAAAGTGAAAGGGGCCAATAGGTTCTTGACAAACCATGAACTTTAAAATGCTAATTAAATCTGTTTTCTGTTGATTCTTATTTCTAGTCCTCCCTTGGAGCTTTAAAATTACAATCTTTCACATTGACCTTGATAAGCATTCTGTTTTAATAAAAAGGGTTCACTGGGCAAAAGCAGTTACACAAATTTATAACCCGAGCCTGACATTTCACTAAGAACTCGATCAATTCCAATGAGTACATTTAGTTCAGTGAAGAGTTTTGACTTGTAAGGATGGAATTTTACAGTCATGTAAATACGTGTGATGAGTTATGCACAGTCAACTCATATAAAGAGTTTGCTGCTTTGAAAAATTACAGATGTTTAGGTTTTACTTTTAATTTCACTGGTTATGTGTAACTGATAAGAAGATGTCTCTAATGCACATCTGTACGTACCTTCTCAATTTTAACACAAAAACTTATTGGAGGCTGTTCCAGTGGCATTCATTGGTGGGCTGATGTCCTCTTGTTTTATGTTGGCTGAGTGTAGCAATTACTCTCTGGGGAAAAATCATTCTTAACTGTCACCACTTACCATGAACCTGCTTGCTTAGCAGAAAGGGAGCAGAGGCATCTATGTCACCGAGCTCCTTGGGGGCTCTGTTGCCCTATATAGGTCAGGAATGATTATCTGAGGAGCAGAAACATGTATCATTGATTTGGGTTCCTTCCCAGAAAACCTACAATGTGCTCTTAACGCAATCTTTTTTCCCCAATGTGAGACATACGGAAGTAAAAATACCACATGGAAGACTTAATCATATTTTAAGAGAGTTACAGCATGTTGTTAGATGATTATTTTGGTTGTCAATTAATTAACATAAGGGACTCCCCTAGTCAGTAGGGCATAAAATAAAATCAGGGAGTGTGTTTCAAGAAGCACTCCTCTGGGTATACGGCCGCAGTTCCCTCCTCAGGGACAGAGGGGGCAGGCTTTCTCTACGTGTAATTGAAATCTCACAAAGTGAAAGTTACCTTTGCCTAATCCCTTAGGACATTTAGTAACAGAAATAAATAGCTTTAGTTCACTCCCAATTCATGAAAGTTCATGGAAGCCCTTGTCAATCCTTATCTCTAGGGAAATGTCCTTACATTGAAATAGTTTGGCAATGCAACTTAATACCTACCTAATGCTAATCTCTGATTGCAAAGCAGATAGTCAAACAGACAAACAAGAAAGCCGGTTGTAGAAACTAAAGTTCATTATGACATAGAATCACTTGTCTTTAAAGAAAAATCAGCATTTTCTTCAGGGATATCTTTACCCCACTAAGAGCAACTATTTGGTTTGATCGTTGTTTTGTTTTGCTAAAGAGAAAGGATGCATGAAGTCTTGGGAGTAACAAACAGTAATTCAGTAGCTCTTCCCCATTTAAAAAAAAAAAAAGTTTTATTGGATAAGGCTAAGTTTTGTTGGCTGTTGCTCATTTGAGACTCAAAAGGGAAAAGTGAGATAGGATTACATAATCTAGAAAATGTAAAGTGTATATAGGACCAGAGGATAATTAAAAATGAGCCCTGGAATCCATTCAATTACCTTCTTCCAAAATATTATAAAAACACTTCTTGATTAATTTTTGCATAGACCTTATAAATATTACTTATATATTTTAATGTAATTATTAATACCGTGAAATTGTATTGAATTCTTATGCCCACAGTTTGCCTTTGGAGTTATTTACTTGGGTTTAAACCAAGTTCAAACATTTATCAAAAAATATAAAAATAAGAAATGACTATTACTATTATTTAGTCATTGACTTTTTTTGACCACGTAAAGATTTATAAATTCCAGGCAGCTAGCCTGCTTATTCACCTGGTTTTGTCAAGCAAAACAAAAAACCGCTAGGGAAACAAAAGCATACTGTAAGCTAGAAATTATTTCCATAGTCATCTCACCTCGCCAGGAATCTGTACAGTGAGTTATGGAATAGGACTCACATGGAGAGAGACCTCTTATTTGTTGTTTTCTTCCTGTGTAGCTCAGCAGCGTGAGCACATAGCATACGCTGGGAGAGACAGCACGCTGCGGCATGAAACATGTTCCACATTACGTTGTAGGGACACTGAAGATTAACTTTTCTTCCTTAAATTTGGGGATGTTTAAAAATTAGCTGGGCATGGTGGCGCATGCCTGTAATCCCAGCTACTCAGGAGGCTGAGGCAGGAGAATTGCCTGAACCCAGGAGGCGGAGGTTGCGGTGAGCCGAGATCGCGCCATTGCACTCCAGCCTGGGTAACAAGGGCGAAACTCGGTCTCAAAAAAAAAAAAAAAAAAAAAAAGGGTATGTTTCACCTGTCAATGAAGGCAGAGTAATTTACATGTGGCTGATAGCTAAACACTCATGAGATGAGTCAAGGATACCTACTTTGTCGGATACTGGAAAGTCCAAATTCAGTGATTTTGAGAGTATTTTGGAAACAAGTGCTCTGTCTGTGAGTTATGATAAATAATTTCCAATAGCATGCATTCATTCATCAAAAAAAATCCTGCTTACTACTATATGGCAGGCACATCCCTTATATTTAACAACTCTTAGCATAGGGAATATGGTACTTTCTTGATAATTTGGCAGTCGTTTTCTTTATATATCTTAATGGTAGAAATATGCGTGATATTCAATGCAGGCTGGACTTGGTTTAAAAATATTTATTACGCAGCATTGACACCACGTTCTATATCAATTGGACAAAACTAGTTGACCTGAGGTTGTTTTAACAACTTTCATTTTGACCTTCAAAGGATCTATCACTTTGTTTCATAATTTTCTAGTTTATAAAAGAAGATCAATGTTTTTCATTAGTGATACTGATGAGGAAACTCTTAGGATGAAACAGACTTTAAAACCCCATATCCTAAAACATCCAGAAAACATTGTGATGAGCATGGAGTAAAATGTAAGACAATATGAGGGCTGTTCTCTTGATTTAGTCCAAAGCCTGGATTCTGTTCACAGGCCTCTTTAGGAAATCTTAAGTTAAGCAATATTTCATTATCTATTTGCTCTTCTCAGTCGGAGTTTTAAAAGTGACTATGATTTTTTCAATGTAATTTATCAACATTTGG